TATTGGAAATCTTACAGCCAGCCGTAGGTCTATGGTACTTTGGAACACAGATTCTACGACCAATTTTTACCAGGGAGTCTTATTGGAAATTACCTCATTGATGCAACAACTATTCAGGATTATGATAAAGGCTACCAGAATTTAGATAACCGTCTCTCAAAAGTTTACATAGATCCTTATTCCTATTTATTTTTTTATCGTGCAGGACAGGAATTGCTGTGCAAGTCACGGTTATCCTCTTTACCTATCATTTTAAGAAGGATAAAATAAATTATTAAAGAATAATTGCATGAAAAAATGATATGTCGAACATTATCAAAGTTAAATGAGGCCTCTAAGTGTCGCTTCATGGAACGCCTAATCTTTGGATTTTTTTTCCCATCAATCCTTATTACTTTGTCGATTTCATTTTGTATCATAGTGTCTTAAACACACATACAGATACATCATTACAGTAAGAATCTCACTTTGACTTACGGGCGCCGTCGTTCGAAGCTTAATTTATGTGCATAATCGATTTCTGTCAATACACAAGAGTTACCCTCAGCACTCCCTAGCGCTTTACGACACCAAAGCGCCACCCAACCTCTTGGGAATGACAGATACAAGAGACCCTCCTCTTACCTCTTGGCGACAGGTGGAAGTTTTTACTTTCGGGGATTCAATACCTCCTTAATTACAGCAATACTAAAAAATTCTAAATGAGCACCGGTCATCACCCTTTTTTTGGCTGTTGACCCACCTACTAAGTGAATTTAAGTGTAAGTTTTAAAACTTCTTTATTCAAATTTAATTTGTTAAATCTATTTATAATTTTGAGAATGATTAATTTCGTTTCATTTAAAATTTTAAACAACAAAAATAATCATCACGAAAATATCTAGTCAGTCTTGTTTACCAAAAACAGAACTAAACCAGAAACGGAAAGAAAAAAGACCTTTCTTAATTATTAATCCAAAAATTAAGATAAGTCTCTCTAAGTAAATTTGTATTTAATAAAAGAAAAATGAGTAAAATTAATATTTGATGCAGAGTTATAGTATTTATTCTCCCATTTATATTTTGTATAAGATTGTTCAATATTATATATATTATAATTATGATTTATTTATCAATGCTGGTGTTTATCTTAAGATTCATGGATGAATGATGGACTGGATTATTAGATTGAGTAATCTAAGGATAGAAATGTAAAACAATATCCATCTAATACGTAGCTTTGGGTGACGTCTTGAGCCGAACAAGCTCCCCAAACTTCGATTTGTTTGTGAAGCAAAATTCTCAGCACTTGGTTATGGTTAACCAATAACCATCACCTAGTCGGTAGGTGAGCGGTTGAATGTTGGAGTCCCGGAAGTAATCATTGGCACGAAACTACTGGAGGGTCTCTTGCCTTGAGGGATAGATCACCAGCTGTTTTAATCCCATCCCTTCACCCTTTAATTCCGCGCCTTCTATATGATTTATTTTCTCAGAGGTGACCCAATCTTAGACCTTCTTCGGAAACCTGTCCTCTCCCACTTTCTAAACATGGCCATACCGTACATGTTATTGGCTCGTCATAATATCATGCACGATGATCTGTTTGGTACCCATGATGCGATTTAAATTTCATTTAAGGAATGAACGTCTAATTTGAGACGCAATCCCTTCTGAAAATGCCTACCGAACACACAAGAAATCTATAAAAGTCACTCTTTCTAGTCTCACATTTCTCAAAAAAAAAAATTAATGTACCTTATTAGCCTCGTGCTCCTGAATTTAGATGAAGTATTATTTTTGTATTGTCCTCACATGTCAGTATAATTTTTCGTACCGTTAATTAATTTTTACTGAAAGAAGCGACAAGCCAGCATGTTTAAAATAAGCTTGGCAACGTATTGTAAGATATACTGGCGCTGATTTCGAGCAGTTTTTGACATTTCAGTGCAACATGGAGCCGTGCGGCGTTAATTTGCATTTTCACTGAGACGATTAAACGCTATTCACGCCAATTTCCACTCTTCTTCCATTCAACGTTTTGGGGTTCTTCGGAATTCGGCACACCGTGTAATTTGCACGACGCGAGCATCTGATTTTTGGCACATCCTATTGAGAGAGGCTTTCAAATCATTAGACCCTAAAGCAGTCTTTGAGAAAGCCCCATTTTAGA